ATTGTAAAAAGAATAAATAATTTTGGGTTTAGAATGACAAGTGGAAATAATTCAGAGTGAGAATAATAATAATAATAATGATAATGATCGTAGTAATAAGGGAAAGGTATACAGAATAACTAAATAAACAAAATAAATAAATGTCTATCCCTCTACAGCCACAGCAGAAGTAGGGAATGTATATATTTCTTTTTCACACAAAGGTCTGGCTTAAAGTCATTAATTGCCAAGGCCTTAGCTGTCTTTAGAAGTATATAACGAAGAAAATGCAGCCGGCAAGTTAGCATGGATTCTGCATATGATCTTAAAATCATGGTCAGGTTTGACAGAGTGACAGAAATCGATCAGGTGTTCCAGAATAGAGCTTCGCACGCACTTCCTTTCTCCCTTGTAAAACCATGCAGCTGGAATATGTTCTCGTATCCATGTGGAAAGCGTCCTCTGACTACGGTCAATGTACCTTGCTCTACAAGAGAATGGGATGTGATAGATGCACATGGAGGCGGCCAGACGGAGATGGAGAACAACTTGCGGCTAGTGAACGTCATATGTAATTTCGCTGCAAAGAACGGCTTACTGACTGCTTTGGAGAGATGGTTTTGAGCATATCTGAAGCTCGATCACCTTTGAATTTCAATTTCATGAATAAGGTTTTCTTTGGAACTGAGTCGGCGACCAGTTTATACTGTTTATCTTTCGTGTTACTGTCAATAAATCGATTCGGGTAACCGGTTTTTGCGGGTGTGGCCTTCAGGAAGTCAAGTTCTGAGTCAACGCAATCAGAACTACAAATGGCCCTGATCCTAAAGCAGAGCGAGTGAATGAATTAGGTTCCTTTTCCTGGAGAAAGGTAGGCACCTAACTATAAAAGTTAGTTAGTTGTCCGTTCCATGTACGTTTCCGGTGGATAGATCTTTTGAGAGATCCGTCATCACGTCTACTGAGGCACACATCAATATTAAAATCTATCATATCAGATTTCACACTATGTTATGTAACATTTTATATTCGCCTACTAATCCTATAATTATGCACCCCTTTCCAAAATCTATACACCTTATGTATTATTTCATATATATGACATTAATTATTTTGCCACTTGACATTGAACTATGATTATAATCACAAATATTTTAATTACATTTCAGGTATTCACACCTTTGACCTAATTCCCTCACCGGATATAATTTCTTTAAACAACCATATTTATTCGATTGTACAGCTTGATAATAAATTCGTTGAAAAGAGTCTCTTCGCTGAAAATCTCATAATTCATGCAAGGTTTGGGATACTGCCCGGACGTTTACACCGAAGCAGGTGGTTGTCTTAAGTGGTCAGACTCCGAGTGTTTGACTTGAAGTCTCCTCTATAAGGCGTTGGAGCTACTTTCCCATGGTTTCTGGTGATTAAGATAGATTCATACGCCATTCTACCCTTTCCGATTCTGGAACCCATATTCAGTCACCACAGGTTTGAAATCAAGTTTTTCCACCCACCCTAGGCAGACCACCAGCATGTTCACCAGTTCACTTGTAAGTGCCAGACGTTCGTATTCCTCCTTTCACTTTTGTCGGGTATGGTCCAGACGTGTAGAGCCAGTAAATAGGAATTATCAGGCAGGGGCTATGTGAATATTTAGACAGAAAGACTGAAGTCTACATACATCTGGCTTTACCAGTTTCACTCTCATAGTTTCCTACTGTTTATCCTTTTCAGTCGAACATCCGATCTTCAGTACGAAGTGAAGGCAGCTAGCTATTGATCGATGAAAGTCTTCAGGCTGCTGGAATGTGCACTAAGTCTATGAACCATGTGGAAGTACTAGTTTTATGTTAATATTGAAAATTCGAATTCTTTTCCTTCTGATAAGTACTGTGGGTTTTCACACTCATTTAAAAAGTCTTCTCCTATCTTGTTTTCTCAACCCTGGCTTGTTTGGACGTACTCATGCATGCCATCCCCAGTTAAAACTATACTATATAATCAGGTGAATAGAAAAGACGAATTCCCTTAGATTTCTCTCACTGATGTTGATTACTGTTCGTTGTCACTGGCTGGGTATGTCTTTGTCACCTCTGTTTCCTCTATGTTCATCTAAAGTTCGATCTCCTCTGCCTCTTTACTCCGTCAACTTGATGATTTTCTTTTGTAAATTTTCCAGTTTATGCAGAATGAGACATAAATCATCCGGAAAACCCAAATCTTATAGGGTCCTCCGTATGCTGCACGCGTACTCACTCCTGATGGACTTCTATATGATCCAGTTCCCTACAATCAAGTAGATCATCTCTCATGGTAGGCGACCTTGTCTTACTCCTGTTTATTTATCTCCAGATATTTAAGTTGAAAATCAGAAACACAATAAGATAATGCCTTTCAAATTTAATAAAATTTTAAAAAATATTTTCTGTACAGATTAGAGACTTGCACTGCGTGTCATAAAGAGCACCTCAAACACACTACAGAACTTCATCAACAGCTAGCTGTCTTCGCTCAATACTACTCAAGATCAGATGGCCAAAGAAGATCAGCAGCAGAGATCTCTGAGAGCGAACCAACCAGGAACCGATTGTGAAACAAATATACAGGAAGCAATGGAGATGGATCGGCCACACTCTGAGGAAACCAGCAAGTGACATCACTAGACAAGCCCTTGAGTGGAACCCGAAAGGGAAGCGGCAAGTTGGTCGTCAGTGCAAGGGTGACTTGGAGGTGGTCATGTGAAGAGGAGATGAAAACGTGTGGGCAGACATGGAGCCAGGTGAAGACTCTAGCAGAGAACCGAACGCAATGGAGACGCACGGCTGAAGCCCTATGTTACTCTAGGAATTAAAGGAAACAATAATAATAATAATTGTCGAGGTTTTCTAACGGCCTTCTTATCCAGTTTTATTTTATAAAGATTTTATTTCATTGGTCGTAGGATTTTATCACGAGCTGACATGAATTGCTGAACAATTGGAAAATCTCAGAGTACTGTCAGACAGATATTTCGTCCTAGTTCGGGCCTCAGGAGTTCCCACTTACAAGACGAGCTAGCTTGTAGATCATTAAATCACTGGGACCCTATCCATTAGTCAGCTTATCAATTCCAACTTCTGCCAGTTCACGATATAGCGCAGCCAATAGCCAGTGTCATTCGTGGTGAGCATTTGCCCTCACAACCAACATGGGTTCCAGTTTGAATTTGTTACCAGTGGGACACATTAGGTCAAGTGTGAGGACGAATACTCGCCACAGATGACATTGGTTAGTAGTCACGCTATGTCGTGAATTGACAGAAGTTGGAATTTATGCGCCGGCCATTGCATCCGGCCCCAGTGGCTTAATGGCCTACAAACTAGCTTGTCTTATAACCAGAAGGTACTGAATTCTTACGCTGGTGACGGGTGGGTGCCCTTGAAGAGTCCCACACTAGGTCGAAGCATCTGTCTTACAGTACTTGCAGATTTTCCATTGGTTCTCTAACTGATATCAGCTTTCTTATCATTTTAATTTCAGGGTAGACAAGGGTTTTAAACTATTAGGAGTTCTTATCTCTTTTAAGTGAGAACATTCTACTCAGGGGCACAAGTAAAATCCCTGTTAAAATCTTGAAATTTTGCTCATAAATAATTCTCTATAATTTGGTTTGTCAGGGTTAGTTATGTTTTTACGAGTTGATCACGGGTTGATATAAGTTAGCGCGACCCCAACCATTGTCGTTGGTGGGACATCCATCCACACACGAGACATCTAATTGGACCTCACTGGTCACGACTTCTCACTTCTCAATCAGTGATCAACTCGTAAAAACATAACTAACCCTTACAAACCAAACTATAGAAAATTAATCTGATGCTCGCTAGTGACTTGCTACAGGATGGAGTTTCCTCGAGTTCTAGTGAGAAGACGTGACCAGTGAGGTCACATGTGTGGATGGATGTCCCACCAACGACAGTGGTTGGGGTCGCGCTAAAAAAATCACGAATCGGTAGAAGTTAGAATTCATGAGCCATTGAATTGGGTCCCAGTGGCTGAATGGTATACGAGCCAGCTTGCCTTGTAACCGGAAGGTCCTGGGTTGGAACCCTACCAGTGAGTTCGTACTGTCAATGATTCCCAAACTAGGATGAAACAGCTGGCTGTCCAGTACTCCCTGGTTTTCAATGGTTCTCTAACTGATATCAATCCGTGATTAACTCGTAAAAACATTAATAATTCTCCATTGCACATCTTAGATACTATACTAGATAGAAGAGAGAAAGGCACATTGAGAAGGTTGATCTACCAAGAGTCAGTCTTTACAGAACAGTACACTAACTTCAATAATTAGATAACTGAAGGTTAAAATATAAATCTTATCCACTCTCTATGCTCCAGAATTCAGAAAATTTGCTTTACAGTTAATAATGAAGTGGAATATCTTTGCTCGACACTCTTGTGTATTGGATATCCCAGAGGGTAAACATTTTTTCGGGAAACACAACCTGGTTTGATTGACGAAACATCAGCAGAAGAAAACTGCACTGTTCTTAACAGAAATTTCTGGTAAATTCGAAAAAGCCATTAAGTAACCAAATATTTTATTCGTTTAGTTTATTGTTCTCCTTTTCAGTGTCCAAGGCAAAAAGTCAAAAATGCAATTTGCAAATTAATTTAAAATCTACCCAGCTCGAGGCGAGATTTCATCAAACGTTTCCTTTGGAAACTAAGATTAATCAAATCACAAAATGTGATCCGCTTAATAGCATCGAATGGTAATCAATAAATCAAGCTCAATCGCATAAAACGCTTTACTACTCATCATCTCGACCAGTCAGTAGTATATAATTTTATGCATTTATGATAGGTAGTAAAGTATAATCACGTGATCCCATCTTTTTAACCAATCAGAATAAAGTTTAATCTTATTGCATTGATTGATGAGGTTATGAATTTATGAACCAATCAAAATATAGGTTTTATTTTGAAAAAAAAATAATTAAACTATCATAAATTATATATATAATTTATTTACAGATACATTGGATTCACAATTGTTTTAAGTGAACGGACAAAGAGATTTATAACTTATTTGACAGTTACATATCATCATTATATTTTTAAATAATCACATACACATAAATAATAAACATGTCACATCGACGTGAAGCAGGTGCTGTTCCACCATGGGTTATTCCAGAAGAACATGCACGTTGTTCACCTAGAAATAAAATAAATCAACAATCCACAGTGGAAAAGTCTCCGTTGAATCAAGTGGAAAATGTTAATAATATTAATAATAATAATTCAAATTGTAAAGTTAATATGGCAGCCGGAGACTCTAATTCACAACAAACACCTAAAGCAAAAGTGAGTTATATTTGAATATATTTAAGATTATTACGTGTTATTATTATTATTATTGCTGTTATGATTATGTCATAAATGTCACTGTTAAATTATTCATGATTCTTGATAACAATCGAGGTGATTATCATAATAATAATGATAACAATAATAGGAAGGATAAATTTATTCAGGTATTTATATAATCTTGTTAATGATGAGTGTATAGGTTGAATGTGTATACTGTTTGGCGGAGAGGGGAAAATAGCTATTGTCATATGGTAACTAGATAATATAGTTCCTATGACCCTTGCAAAATCGATGATACTGATATAGAAATCAAGTCTGAAGTTAAGTATCTTGGATTAATTCTCTCTTCTGACCTATCCTGGTCCTCCCATGTCTTAGCGATTTCTAAAAGAATATTTCGTCTGACTTTTTACATTAGGAAGTTAAGGCACTCAGGCATAACCCAACCACTCCTCTTACAGTTTATCAACTCGTGTATTTTACCTATTCTTCTTTACTGTTCACCCTTATTCTTTCCTGGATTGCTTAAAAAGGACTATGTCATAATTCGTAGAACTCTGAAGACTGTCAGCTGGACGAGTGGTATCTCATAGGGCCATATCGTTGACATTGTCACTGATAGGCATTTGATGTCATGCAACAATTTCGCTAAAGGAATTTTGTCAGACTGTGAGTATCCACTCTACCCGCAGCTCCAATCTTGTGTCTCCTCAGGTAAAACAAGAAGTCTTTTTAGAGGACTTTATGCACATACGTCTAAGTATAACAATTCCACTATACCATATTTGGCACGTACTTTATGTGATGAAAATAGTGTCAAGCATGAACTAACAAACCTTCTTAGCACCACTAAATAAACCATTTCCTCCACCCTTACAGCATCAAACTTTATTGTTATTGTATTTCTTATATTTATAATCCTCTCAACCTTTTGTTTTGTTTATTTTTTTCATAAGTGTGGACATAATTTAAGCTGTATTATAACTGCTAATTTTGTATTTCCCCTCATTATACTATATCAAAAGAACTTTAGATCCAATAATCTATAACATGCTAAAGTTTCCAAACTGAATCGACAATACTTTTTGAAACAAACTCACTGTTATTATTATTATTATATTTAATAATCTCAATTCGTGCTTCGAATATTTTTGACTTTATACCGTAAATGTGGACAAATTCCTCTGGTTAATTTTGTTTTAATTTTATTTATATTTTGAGCAAATCAGATGCAATATTGTGACAAATGCTGAGAATTCCATTCTGTATTATAAGTACTGTCTGTTTTGGAATAAAGTAGATTATTATTATTATGATGATGATAATAATACAAGTTGCCATAAGGTGTCAACTCCCAAGGTTGGTACATCTTTAGTTGTTGGGCCTAGCTGAGGCCGTTGCCATAATAATTTTTCAACCCAGCCAATGTGTTTAGAAAAAGTTCGTTCAATTTCTCTCCCTGCCTTGGCCTTCAGCCCTAACCTAAAATAGTTATCTCTCCTGATGACACCGAATAACTGTAAATATTATCTTAATTATTTGGATTTACAATATGGTCCTCAGCAGTTGTCATTCCATATAGAGCAGAGACGTCAGATGATATCAGAAGAGTACTCAATAAGCAAAACATCAGAGTTTTCTCCAATACATCAGACACACTGCGAAGCAGCCTTGTCCATACAAAAGACCAAATCCCCGAAGATTCTCTCTCTAATTGTGTCTATAAAATAAAATGCTTGCTTGGAATGTGATACGATATACATCGGACAAACAACGCCAGAGAGAAATCAAAATCAGAAGAAATGAACACCGTAGATCCGCTTCTATTAGACCAACGAGAAATCACGTTGAACTAGAAAAGCTTGAAAAATCATCAGCCATAGGTCGTCTACACGCTATAGAATCAGATCACAAAATTGATTCTGACAATAATGAAATCATCATCCAGAAAAAGCATTTCAGAAATTACAAAGAACGTCTAGCGTCAATCAGAAGCACTTCATATCAGATGGAATCCCAATTGTCTGGTGAATAGGAATGATGGACTAAAAAAGAATTTAACCTGGTTACAACACCTCCCTCCCCCATGAAATGACAAAATCAACACAAATATGATAACCAATTTCACTATGTAAACACACGCTGCTCTTGTATAATTTCATACACTTATCAAATCCAACAATCTACACCTGGTTTTGTTATCTTTGCCGGAAAAGTGCCCCCATGTTGAGGAAGGATGATTAAGTTGTTATATAAAAGCTGAGTGGATTTTGTAAATTCTGGTTTAATAATACTACTTTGATAAAGCTATTAGCAGCAGCATTAAATAACGAAACGTCAGTAAACACAACATTGTCGTTTTGTTTTTCATTGAATGGGAAATACAAAAAGACAATATATGTGTAAAACTTGGGCGCTGTGGTAGTAAGTAATTCCATATTACTTTGTTCATTAGATGTATCACAGTCACAGAAACAGTTTTAGGGTTTACTGGATGACGTTTCAGATACAATTTATAACTGTTCATAATCATATCAATTATAATCACACAACTTCGAAACTTGAGTTTCATAGTTTTCTTTGTTCTCTCCTATTTGTCGTCGTTGGGATAGTAGTAGAATTTTCCAGATATCCGACTGGACAGGTGTTGAATCATTCCTATTGCACGTGTTTGCAGTTGATTCGATAAACAGAGTGTCTGTTATGAATCTCTCCCTCCATTTTAAAACTGTCATCCTATCACATCCCATTGTATGGTTGTGTGTAACTGCATGTATTGCTATAGGTTAACTATTCTCCAGATTTCTTATCTTGTCAGAGTCAACTAATCTAGATTTTGCTACGTTTTTATGTTCTGCTAGTCTAACTGACCCTGCTCTACTAGTTTAACCTATGTATTTGACCGAACAATCATTGCAGGCGGGGTATTAGATACACTAAATTGTTTTATTTAAAATTTGTTTTTGTTCGAAACGTCATCCAGTAAATAATACTGTTTCACTGTGTGATACATCTAATAAAGAAACTAATATGGAATTACAAAAAGACAACTTTTATTATAATGAACATCATATACCCAGTGCCCAAATGTTTTCATGCTGAGCTATAATTGCACATTTTAATCTCGGCTTGACCACTTATTATATTGTTGTATTATCTAATCATTATGCTACAACGGTTATTTTCCCCTATACTTCTAACAGTATACACATTCTGCCTATGCATTCACTATCACCTAGATTTTATAAACACTTCAATAAGTTTATCCTTGTTATTATTATTATGATCACCACGATTGTTATCCATTAATTCACACCCCTCAATAATGTTTACTGATGACGTTTAGAGCACAATTTATTGCTCATAATCATATCAAGGTAATCACACGACTTCCTAAATTCATTTACATAGTTCCGTTGTTTTTCACTTTTTTGATTGGTAGTATTATTTTCCATATTTCGGGTGTGAGTGATGAATCATTCCTATTGCATGTGTTGGGTGTAGACTCGATGACCAAGGATTTAGTAATCAACGTCTCTCTCCACCTACCTAGGTTACTTTTTAGAATTTTAACCCTCTCCCACCCTATTGTGTGGTTCTGTGTTGTTAATGAATGCATTGCAATTGCTGAGGTTTTTTCTAAATTACTTATCTTCTCTGGGTCAACCATTCTTACCTTAGCTAATATTCTTATGTTCTGACAATCTGACTACCCCTGACCTACTAGTTTGACCTGTGTAGTTAACCTCACTCACAGTCATTGCAAGGTATTTTGTAAATTATATTATTTTGTCTAATTGGGTCAACTGGGTCCTTTAACCTACAGAGCTTGTCCCTGAGTGAGTTTGTAAGTTTAAATGCCACCCTAATTCCTGCTTCATTTAGGATCCTACGTAGGGTCTCAGATGTCCCCTCTTTACATGGTATAACTGTACATGACTTATATTCTCTCTTTTTCATGTTATTATTACTAGTTTCACAATTCTTTTTATTTTTCTTTTGGCCTTTTTCGATCTTCCTAATGAGTTTTGTAGGATAGTTACTTAACACCAACGCCTCTTCTGTTTTATTTCATCATTTAGGTCTTTTTTTGTGCTACTTAGTGAACTAAGTAGCACAAAAAATCAAACCAAGTGAAAATCAAGTGAAAAACAATGGAACTATATAAATGAATTTAGGAAGTCGTGTGATTACCTTGATATGATTATGAGCAATACATTGTGCTCAAAACGTCATCAGTAAACATTACTGTATAACACTGTGAAACTTTATCAAAACAAAATTTACCCATAATGGAATTACACTCTACCACAGTGCACAAGTTTTATTCTTATGTCAATCACACCCCTCAACTCTGACCCTGTATTTTATTAACCACTTTAATTCAAATGCCCATAACTAATATTTCATTGTGTAAATGTAAAACCTAATGAGAATTTCCACATTAGTTTGTTTATTAGATATATCACACAGTGAAACAGTATTATTTACTAGATATTGACGTTTTGAACAAAATTTATTGTTCATAGTTATATCATCAATTGTAACTAACTATGCAGCTTTGAGTGTCTGTGGCACAGCAGTAGAATGCTCGCCAACCAAGCCACACGTGGTTCGGGGTTCCATCCCCGGTCACAGTTGCACTCCTTCACCTCGCTAAGCCAGTAATAAGACTGGTAAAGAGAGAAAGTTGGGCTGGGCATGAGGTCAGCAATCCCAGCCCTTAAAAATAAATACCGCTGCTACTGAAACTTCAAAGCTCTAGTTTGACGCCCTATGCTCCATTGGGAACGTAAGGGAATAATAAAAATAAAACAACTTCAAAACTTTCGTTTTATGGTTTTCTTTATTTTTTTAAAATTTATTTTTCTGTAGCTTGACTCCACACAGTATTTTTGATACAAGTATGGAATTTTCAGCATGTGATATCGGTAGCCCGAATTTAGCAGGCCGACCATTGATATCAGGTGTGCGTAGGCAAGGGATCGAACCCC